AAAATGATCTCATGGGTTGAACGAGAACCGCGAGAGCAAATGATTCAACAGGTTACGACGAATACAAAAGTCAGATGACGAGGATCATAACTACAGTAGTACTGTATACTGCATTGTGGACAAAGAAGAAAACATTCGAACACAAGAAAGGAACACTTGGTCAACGAGAGAAACTGTATTACGCAGTGCGGTTGAGAAACATCATCCGACTCGTCACCGAAAGTAGAATCTGGTACTGCACATTACTTTCAAAGGTATTGCTGCACTTGCAAAGCCAAAATTATTATTTTTCTTTATGGTACACGCAATCGACCGGAAAAGGTATGAACCACTCGACGGCGTAAAATTGTCATAAAATATAATAACGGGTATTTTAAAGTGCACTAACGTAAAATATAATCTTTGAATGTTCAGCTGACCACAGAGTGATATGCAGTAACGTTTTTCATTGCGAAACCAGACATAACCAATCCCAACAATATGGCACCATGACGTTCAACCCAAAAGCTTCAGTCAATGCAGACGGAGGATGAAGATCCATGAAAAAGTGTAATCAAACCTTAAAATAAATGTTAGCAACATGAAGTGACTCAATTAATGAATGTATGGATCTATACTGTACTAAGATTGAAAATCACTTACCGGTACCTCAAAATAGAAGATTGCCACGGCTGGCGGTACATCTACACCTCATTTAGAGTTGGCACACCTTACTTCGAGTTGGCGCACCCCATAGAAAGACCTTTCGTTTGTCACCCAGGACCCAGCATACGATTAGATGGTTCGGTTAATGTTTTACTCATAACAGAAAGAAAATAGGGGGTTTCAGGACTACAAACTTCCAACACACCGCGAAGAGAATACTTTCGAAATTCGATTTAGAACGCGTTAACACTCAACTTACGATTCCTCGAGAGGACGTCTAAAAATAAATTAATTGCAGGACACAATTTAGTTTTTCGGTCATTAGACAGTCATCCGAAAGATGAAAACTGCTGATTTCAACGCAACCGGCCGCGGGAAGTTGTAGTTTTAAAAGTACCAGCTTCCTACTAAACGAAACGTTTTACCACAAGAGACTAAAAATAAAAATTATACGGATGCAGTTTGACCAATTCCGGGAGATGATACTCGAGAAATAAAAACAACATACACTGAAAGCTTCCCGCGTCGGCGGGGATTCGACGAAACTGGTATTATAAAAAGGAGGGTTCGAGAGGGACGATTCGGAAACAATGGAAACCGGAGCACGTCGCACCATCAGATGGGATTCATATCCACCCAACCGAGAACCAGGAATACTGTACAGAGCACACCGACCACATGGCAACAAAGGCGAACCGGAGACACTGCGGCACTCAGCAAGACTGATTTCGCCGCACTTTACTTCGCACGCGTGAAACGAAGTCACTAATAATACGAGCCTCCGAAGCATGGAGCAGCGGAGGCGAGACTGTTGCCTTCCCAATATCAACCCCCTTTATATATACACACACATACACCCACGCATTCTGAGAGTCGCGAGAACGGCAAACGCCATGGCTTCCGCGGGCCCAGGCGAGCTCCGAAATGCGACTCGCCATTATCGGCTTCGTCAGTTTCCTGCAGGACCGATACAGTACAGAACATTACACTACAATACTGTACACTAGACTCTTCCCTGTATATAGTGTCCATATCAGAAGACACACACAAGCCAACGGAAAATTGTATTGTACAGAATAATGCAACAGATTATCGTGTGCGGGCTCGGATAAATCGGACCACCATGGTGCTCAGTGGGACTATTGGGAGGAAACAACGAGGATGCACTGCCTTTTTTCATTTTAATTTGCTTAATTTAGATTATTAATTTCCGTCTGATTCATAAATGGGATCATCTAACTTAGCAAACGCGGTTCGAATTTTGCGGGGATAATGATCGTAATAATTGATTTCACCCCTGAATTGTATGCCCTTCACGCTGAATAATTTTTTTTGGTCTAAGTATCTGATTATTCACAATATTGTAATGCATACTATCTGTTGGGCAAAAGCACTCATGTGCAAGTGCTGAAATTGGATTTTACGGAAGCATGCATACTGTAATCGGGTTCTTCCAAGCTCGACTCCCCACGTATCAACGATATGCTTTTTTTAACCTTACATAGGTGTCGCTTCAAACTTTGAGTAAATTCGATTCATTCATGACTACAGCACAGTAATAACCCTGATTACAATTACAGCATCAGAAAAAGCCTCATTTACCTTAAGTTTCAAAGTGGATTTCGGGAATATTGTGAAACTACACTAAAACCATAGCTTTTTTATGCACGTGTTAATTCTGTGAATATGGATATGGTATTGTACTTGCTGAACGGATTGATTGATCGAACATTTTGCTAGCAGAGTACTGTATAAGTGTATAGGAAAAGACTAAAATTAAAAATGCTGATTGCGGAGATGGTAACTAAACCTTAAGCGTGTAATCAAGATTCAGATAATTCTGAGTAAATTGGATACAATGCAAGTGCTGCGTCTTTGAGTCGTTGGCAAATAAACATTTTTGAGGTACAAAAATAGAGGCCCGTCTTGTAAACCATCCCGGCATCTTATAATCGAGGAGATGCGGAAGCAGGATTAGATCGAAGATAAGAAAGACAGCTTTTCGAAATTCCGGATCAGGAGCAAGGATGGACTTTGCGTGACGATTCGACCTCTCCGACGAGCAAGGAAGAGGATCGGAGATCCAGACACACGCCACCGAAGCAAATCTCATTCATCACCTCAGATGAGATACAAATGCCAGGGTAAATAGGGCTTGTCCGGCCGGAACCGCAATGATACTCGGCTCACGGAATCGCAGCTTCCGGTGCTGGTTAACGCGGCTGACGCTGGCTTCCCATTGCCACTGACACCCGGACGCTGTCGGTCGTTTTCCGGAAAGCCGCTTTCGAAATTAAGCTCGTTTTCCCGTCCCCCAAGTACTGTACTGTACTGTATTGCCTTTCCGTCTTGATATAAGTTTTCGCAGGAAAATCGGCTCTTTGCAAAAGCTCACATTGCCCCTGATGGCTCTGAATGATATGCTGGCCGCGTTTCGTGCTTACGGACCTGATTAAGTCAAATCGGCGAGAAACTGCGCGGGATCCCTTGATTATATACCACGGCGAGGTTACATCAACGTTATTCTGCCAGCTGTACCTTTATTCACTCCTGTTGATGGAAATTGGCTTCTGTATACTGTATAAGACTGACGTAGAAGACCAACTCAAGTCATATCCTCGTCTCAATTCATGGTACGTTACTGTCAGCAGAACTCAATTTTATACGGCATGATATGAGTTTATTGCAAAAAGATACATCCTCTTCTGAAAAGTTGGCAATCAAGTTAGAAGAATATTTTTGAAGAGGCAGCAATCTCTCTGTTAAAAAAAAAACTGTGGAAAAATTTTATTTTTACATTCCCCGAAGAAGTATAAATTGGTTTTAGAAGTCAGCAGCATTTAATTTTAGATTTTTTGAAGAAATCCTTTGTAATTAACTCCTCTCATACAAAGAACAGAAGAACTCAATAAAGAAGTAAAATCAACAAAGAAAAACTTGTGGAAGTTATTTTTAAAACATCTATCTTCATACCACGTGCATCATACTTCTACTCAACAATTTTAAGCAGTGCATGTATATACAGCAGTTACACAAAGAAAACAAACAAGGTCAAATTTCGCTCCAGTTGTTGGGACTGAATTGACAAAACAATAAAGTAGATAAAAAATTACCTCAGCCAAGGATTTGAAAGGTTGGTCCTCAGATTGGGAGCAATGCAGAAACCTTCAAATATCTGCTGAAAGGAGGTTCTGCCTATGCATCAGCCAACTCATCATAGGTCAGGTGAAGGTCATGCATGTAGAACCAAACAGCAAAGACAAACTAAGGAACAGACTTACTTAATTTGATTTAACCCGTTCAAGTAACTCGATTAGATGTCAGGAATAGAGCAACTGACCCTGACCACATAAGAAAAGTGTGGTCTGAGTCATTTAAGTTATAACTCCTCATCTGTGCAAAAGGCGCAGAGCTGAGGGTTTTATGCAGACCAGAATAACCCAGTGATTGCGCTAACTGTAATAAGGTTACACATGTTTGAATCATGTTTTTATCACAGGTTTCTTCAATTCAAAAAGTTGCCCTGCTCCCCAAAAAGTACACCATATGCAGAAATTGTCCTGCCTAGAATCCCCACATGGCTGTTTGTGGAGACACTGCACCAATCAAATGACTAATTCGAAAATAAATTTGTGGAAAATACATGGGTGCTCTTGCAAATAAAGTAATCATCCAATTATTCTTGGCGATGAATCATACATCGTTGAATATGCTTCCAGAGATTAGCATGAGTTAGAATTTATTTTTTGAATTTCAGGATTCAGGTCATCATCACTGAAGAAATATTTTTCTCTTAACCTGCTGTAGCTGTTCAACATCACATCATTTCATCATCCGGCTAATTCATATAATTCGCCCAGATATGTATAAAATTGAAAAGAAGCAAAAGTAATCTCGATGAATGACCATCGCTGATTGAATCTTCAACAATTAATTCCCATCCCTTTCCGCCCAACACCCAAAAAAAAAAAAAGGAAAAGCAAATGTTCAGGAAAAAATCAAGTGGCTCTATTTTTTCCAGAAGACAAATAAAACCGCGAATGACATCGGAAAGCCCACACTAGAAAATGTATTCATGACCCAGGAGCTCGTTCACGACTCACAACGTGCCTGTCAAACGCTCATTCTACTAGGAGCGCCCACGGTAGAAAAGTTGAAGGAACCAAATCACGACATGCACACTCCACAGAAAATTTCCTTCTCCAGCATTTACCGAATCCAACCTTCGACAGTTGCAAGAGATCTGCGCAGAGGGGGGAAAGGGGGGAATTTCACGGAAAATATCTGCACATGTTTCAGCCACTCGTAGCTGGTACCACAACAACGCAGAAAAATTTTGTACACGCTCATCTGCCAATACTTTTCTTCACACTAAAACCAACGGAATCCAAAATAAGATTCTTCTTCTTCAAAAAAAAAAAAACCTGCCACGAAGCAAAGTGATTTAAAAAATTCCTGTTCAGATGCCCACTCGCGAAATTCTCTCCGTTCAGTCAATCAACAAGATCTAAAACCAATTGCGTTCTTTGTTCATCATAGAAAAATCAAGGAAAAAGTATTACGGTTACATCACAGATTAACGCATTTTCAGCAAAACCGTCTGAAACGCACCAGGGATTACGTCAAATATGTTTTTTTTTCTACGTCCATAGTCATAAAAAAAGTCCAACGCGAATTTACAGACTGATCGAATGTCAAAAATCTGATCCCGAAAAAATCTTGAGTTAAAGCTCGGTTTGACGCGATTACCCACAATGTCAAATTTGCACTACCTCCTGTGTAATTTACCCCGTTCACGAGTTTTTTTTTTCTTCTCTCACGGATATCCAAGCGACAGCCTCCGGAAAATCGTCAAAAATTCAAACTTCAGCCATTACATAAAATATTCGGATGATTATTAAATTTTGCTTATAAATACGTCCAGAAAACCAAAATCAAACAAGCGATAAAAATGGCATCTAAATTCTTGAATCTTTTTTCTCGAAACATAACGCTCTGCGGGGATATTCGGGGAAACGATCGATGGATCCTCTCGACAACAACAACAAAAATTCTTTGGCTTTCAAGTTCCGCTCTCAAACAGAGAAAGTAATGCATCCCCTGTGTCAAGACTGGGTCACTTGCTGTCGTGGATGCACCCCGGGGTAGTGGTGATGAGCATTCTTCGAGCCGCCGTTGAAGTGCATCATGTTTGCGTTCGGTGGCCCGTTCACGTACTGAGGCGGGGGCGGGTGGTTGTCGAAACCCGGATGAACCCGGGATCCGTGACCAGGCGGTGCCGGGGCATGTCTGCAAATGAAAATGGACAGGGTTTCCCTTTCCGTCAGATCTCGACAGTTCACTGTTCTGCACAGTACATCACTCTCCTATACGCGAAGGTATTTCCAACAGGCTCCCGACGAGTTCGACCACGAACGCCCGTCAAAGAATTCGAGTAAGGCTTTCGAAAAAAAAAAAGGAATCTGATTTTGAACACATTCTATCTCCTGAAACATTTAAAGCTGTTGAGGTTTTCAAAAATTCAACAAAAATGTGCATTGAATCCTTTACGAGCGATGTCCAATTTTATAAGTTCAGTTGCTTTCACGCACATAAAAAAAATGAGGCACGATGTTTTTTTTTTTTTCCCGAAGACGGAAAAAGGTACACGAGAGGGTTGCCCTTCTTTCGCATAACTTTAAATGACAGGAACACACGAGGGACGGCCAGGGACCGCAACAAAGTAAAATCGATTTTTCTTAGAACAGCTTTTCTCATTGTTATACTTTACTTCCGTTTTTTTTCTCATCCAAAACTGAGCATGAAAAACAAAACTGAAAGTTTAGTTTAAGTGAATTGAATAGAAAAATCGCGATGAAATAATGTTCAAATACAAATACAGTACTGCACTTCATTTTTTACCAACACGATTTGCTATCGCGTCCCAAAATGGTATTAAAAAAAATCACACGAATATTCCATATGTTCCATATGTTGCCATTGAAGTTCATTCTTCAATTAAAAATAGCCTCGGATCAAAATGAAGGTAAGTAGGGTTAAACTTGATTTTGATTTTAAATCATCGAAAGACTTTCCGATTCAAACTAATGAATACACACGAGCACTTCGACAGCTTTGCTTTGACCAGTAAGTGCATCGGATGCTTGAAGTACGCGAAAAATCCCAGAATGACTACGATCGTATCGAATTAATTGTTGGGTTTTTCCAACAAAAATTTGAGGAAAAGTCGTTGAGGGTCAAACATTTGTAATATTTTCAACGGGACTTCAGGAGTTTATTTTTCAGACATTTCTCCGCGAAGTTCGAGGCGTCTCACGCATAAGGAATATTGTGGTGCTGGGTGCACATGATCAAGTAAGGTAAATTAAAAATTTGTTTAATGAAGAAAAAAAACGAACCTCCGTTTCGGCTCAAAGAACTCTGGTGGTGGTATTCCCGGTCGCTGATTTGGCAAACGGTGCAAACTGCTGCTATTCAAAGCCCCGGGACCGTGTGCCATGTTTTGCGAAGCCGCCATAGCGTGTACCATTGCTCGCTGGGCCGGATGCTTGTTGTGCTGCGGTCCGAGAGGCTGCTGGTGCTGTTGATACAGATGATGTTGTTGCTGCTGTTGTTGTTGTTGTTGTTGATGAACCACGTGATAGGGAGGCGGGACACGGTGTCCGAAATCGCTCGGGTTTCCGTGGCCGTTCATCTGAGCTCCGGAGTTCTGCTGGTACGGTCCTTGGCGTGAAACCTTTTGCTGAGGGAATGCCGATTCGATGGTAGCTGGAATGCGAAAAAAAACCGATCGCAAGAATGATCAATGCATGAATGAATTTAAGATTGGGCGCAAGTTCCAATGCATAAACGATCATCCTACACAGCACCCGCGGAATGGTGCGAGAAAATTAAACCCGCGAGAGAACATATCCCATGCGTGATATCAACTTCGCTTCGACCGAGAATCGATTTTCTTTACAGCATCACGGAACATTCCATCAACTTTAGGCAATGGAAAAACGTCACGATAGTCGATGAGCAAAATTTATCATCACTATACGGAATATTCACTGAAGTGTTCCCAGCAAAACTGAGCCGATCCCGTCAGATTCAAAAGACGTAGATTTTAGTCATTTTACAATAGAAACAGACGTACGAAGGATGACTCAAAATAGAAAGATTAACGAAAATTAAGAAACGTCCAGCAAAAGACGGCAACTATTCTTGAAACGGCAACTGAATGATTTTCTCGATACAGCGCGAGTGAATTCTGCAAGATCCACTGAACTGCTGCAAAATCAACGTTGATTTTTTTTTATCGATTATGCGATTTGTGAAGAGTAATCAGAAAATACAATTTCAACCAATTTCATGCAAAAAAATTTAAAAAGAGGTTCCTCTCAATCGAACTCCGGCCGCTCATTCCAAAATATAACGCTGTTATTACCTGAATCAACAAACTTACACAAATGTAACCCAACACTGCACTATCACAGTCCTACTACGCGACTGACCTTGGTCAATCTATAATTTCACTGTGCTGGATTTTACTGAGCATACATAACATACCGGAATTCGGAAAAAATTGACCGACGATAATATGAAAGGATAATCACAGAGGATGTCGAGACGATGCGTAATCAATAAATTTGATACATAAATCCAAGTTTGGCCAGTCACCAAGAGTGAAAATCCTTGACTGTTTTTTTGGTGAATGTGGTTTACATGGAAATAAAATAATAGCCAGATGCAAGCAATTCATAGAAACACGAAATAAAATTTCGAAATTGATGAAGTTTAAACATATTCGAGCCAAAATTCAAGAAAACAGTACAGTATAAATATCGCAGTGTTTCGAGATTACAAACTATAAATTAAAATGCATTTATCCTTCGGCAACATTTTACGCGAGTATGTCTTTTAGATGGCTATAATAATCTATTGAGAGAAAAATCGCTCTGCACATTCTCGTCGAACAGTTTTGTACGCGAAGACAGTTAATGCCATGCGAAAGCAATTAAAACACAAATGTGTAGCTAAATTTAGTTGATTTCCTATTTTTGTAGTTTGTTATAGATCTTCATCCAAAAATCGGCCCAAAAATTGCCTTCCCCCTTTTTAAATCTAATGAAAGCGAAAACTTCTAGCGACACCTGTGTCATGAATAAGAAAGTCAGCGTCCGGGACGTCGGGTGTTATGCAAGGAAACTCAATAAGAATTCGAAATGACAAAAAAAAATCTACCGACTCATCCCGAAGGACAAATTATACAACATGGACAGAAAAGCTCCGCAAAAGAAAAATACTGTATTGTAAACAACATACGATGCTGGGGACGGTTCTGAGATTTCTTCGGCAGCGAATTGTGGATGGCAGGGCCTCGTCGTGACCTGACGGAAGACGGTTGGGAGCCATTGTTTTGCGACTGTGCAGATTTCTGCAACTGCTGCTGCTGCTGTTGTTGTTGCTGCTGTTGAAGAGCAGTTGTAGGGGCTCCCAACGCAGTCGCAGGTCTCACCAACGCGGCAACGCTCTCGTACTCGTAAAAATTGGACTTCGGTCGCTCTCGGCTGTTGTCTCCCCCACGGCCTCCTGCTCGTCGCTGACTGTGATACACCTGCTGCTGTCTTCTGGGACAAGCAGATAAAAGAGGCAAACTCGGCATTAGACATCTTCCGTCTTTCAGTCGGGTATAAAAGGAGCCGAATGAACAAGAGCACGAGCCATGATCAACAACACGCAACAGATGCATATGTACACAAACACACGATACAAGGATTGTGCGCCCAGTTTGGTCAAAAAAGGATATTTCCCGTTTAAAAAAATATAATAATGGAATTATGCAACACGAACACATGAGCTTGTGCAGCATGCGATCTTGAAATGAATGTGAATGACGAGGAGAAGATAATTGTCCATAAATCATGTGAAATAACAGAGGAATAACACTTTAGATCCCGATTTCCTGAAAAAACCCACAGTATTCACAGAAGCGAAAATCGCGCGAATCTACCTCCTCTCGACAAAACGCGACGAAAATGCAACGAAAGCACAAAATGATTCAGAAAAGTTAGCGAAAGTTCGAAATACTGTATCACAAAGAGAAAAAAATGAATGGACTCCAAATGAGAGAAATATTAGATGCAATTTTAGAGATGCGCTCTCTCAAAAACGATATTGAAGGGATAACAGAATTTCCTTATTCAGAGAACATCGTTCTAAAGGATCTCAAACATAATTATAGACACTCTGTCGGGTCTTCTATAAAAAACAAAATCATCAGAGAGAGAGTTCACCTACATCGGCGGAGGCCATTAACAATATCATAGGGGGATTTTAGAATAATGAAACACGCGATCGTTTTTGGAAGCATCAAAAGCAAAGCATTAAGAATTTCAGGGAAGACATTGGATGCAAATCGAAACTTGTTCAAGCGCGGACTGTGGCAACATGCTTACGGAAGCAAAATACGGTATTGTATATAACCGTGGTTTTGAGACGCCTTTATACTGTACTCGTATACTCACTCTTGCCTGCCTAACAGCTTTGACCAGAACATTCGCTTCGATGACCACCACCTCAACCTTGAACAGGAAATCCCGAATGAAAAAGCCCGGTTACGAATTAAAAAATTATTTTTCAACGCGAAATCTAGGACACGGAAAAATTTTGACGTTAAAGACGTAACATTTACGTGGAACACACGAACAAACACAGCACACAACCATCTCTCACACAGATTCACGAGAACATTTCACATACATCAGCATTTTCCCAAGGTATCCACCACCTCTGATCAGGGTCACATCATAGCAATTTCAAAAGCCATTTCCCATTCATTACAATCGAAAGAATAGAGAAGAAAGATGTAGAATGGAAACCGAAGAGCTGCAGAAACCAGTACTGTACCAACGTCTCCTCTCCACAGGAAATAAAGTTGTCGCTTAAGTGAACTCAAGATTGCCACACCCAATTGCACGCCACAAAAAAAGCTGAAGACTTCCGTAAACGAGGGATGTTTCAAATGTTTTGTCAGTACCTTCTTATTAGGAATTCAATTTCTAAACATTTTTGGAAATGTTAACTTTCAATTGTTTAATAATTCTTAGAATAGATCAGCTGATCCGGGAGTACCATGATCAAGTCGTAAAAAATATTTCCACAAAATATCTGAAGAATTTAGAGGACTTTGACAGCTTTAAAATAAAATGAAAGCGCGTGACATACGTATAGTATTGTATGGTTAAACCACAATTCCTAACACAGATCGGGTAGTGCGAATCTTTGTTTTTCTATTTCCATTTGGGGGAAAAAAATTGGAATCTTGATTAGGAAATAATTTCAAACTACACTACAGTACAAAAAACAAAACAAAAGCAAAAGGGACTGACAAAACTTCACGAAACACCCCCGCGGGCGTGACCACGAAATGATAAAACGGACGAAGCAGAATTTCAAATAAATAAAACGAAAATCTTGTTAAAAACACAAAAAATACATAAATGAAGGAATCGGCGACGGTTGGAAGCTCTACCGGTGATCCTTTTACATCAGGACGTGTTCAGCAATGACTTTTAAGCGCGCTATAAGACGCCTGAATCTACCTCAGGTACGGTAACTAAGATACAGTACGTACAGTAGATTTACGTCGTCGATGGAACTGGTGGCAGCGAGAGACAACAACGAGGAGGAAAAAAGGAGGAAAGCGTGGAGACAGGAGAACGTAAGCCCGTACCTTCGAATCTCACGAGGATTATTATTCGCACAATCCACCACGACAGGCGACGGGAAGCGCTTAGGCCCACCAGCACCACCGGACAACACAGTCCCGTTACAACTCCTAGTCCGGTTAAACTCGTATTTACAGGCGTTATCCAACGGCGACATCGTCGATGTCGGTGACGACTCCACAAGGGATTCCCAGGCAGAAAGCTCCACGTAAAACTGACTACTCTTGGGCCGCGGAGGCTGCGGCTTTACTTTCTTCTTGGTCGAGCCTCGATAGCTTTTGCGGAGAGCGTCCGTCATTGACGGCGAATCGCTCGTCATCGGAACGTACTCCGCCGCCGTCGGGGCAGGAGTTGGCTCTTTTTCGACAATGATGCGCCCACTGTGTTTACGTCACAGAATATTTTTTTTTGAGAGGTTATTTTCAAGGAATGGATGCGCTCGGCGGCAAGTTTGCGTGAAGGTTTGATCGAAGTTGAAATCGGCTGAATTTCTCTCGAGCACCGAAATATTCGTTACTTTTGCAGCGATGCATTTTCTCGCGTTTTAAATCCATCCTTAACTTGGACAGCAGATTCGCAATGAACACAAAAAATAAAAATACACAAAAGCTTCAACAACAACAAAAAACCGAAAAAAAAACTTTGCTGAAGAATATTTTACCAAATGCGAGGTAAAAAAAGAGCATGTTTCGGCGCCAGGAAAAAATTAAAAAGAATTTTGCACAATTTTTCGCTAATCATTTCAAGATACTGTATTCGAAAAACTTCCGGTATAAATTATGAATCTGTCGCTCGGATTTTTCAAAAGCCCCGGTTACAGGACTGAATTTTATCTTTGTTAACAAATGGATACGATTGATTCATCATCTTGTGTAATTCATAAATTTTTTCTGATGCTTTATCGATGAGTCACAAGTACTGATCGGGTTTGGAATAAATTCAGCGTCATTAAAACAAGCAGGTTAATAAATTCCATAGGCACTTGGTAACGTAAATTCACCAGGCCGTATACTTTCAGGACGCTATTTCCGAACATCTTATTTTCAAGCTGTACAGAATTTATGTATCCAAAATATTGATTGCAATGCTAAAAAACGGATCAGTCTGAATACCAATTGGATCAACTAAGTTTTTTTCCGATTCAACAAAATAATGATGAAAAGATAACAACGGATTCCAGCCTCGCAATCCTTCACAACAAACGAGCTCCCGGATGAGATCACAAATTACTGGCTATAACCCAGCTACGAAGCAACTTGAGACTCAAGAAATCTAACGAACTTGCACCCTCTAGCTATCTCAAAGCATTTGCAATACAATGGGGATGATTTTGCAACGGACTTATAACATTCCTAAACATATAACTCAAACACGGCCTTATTTGGGGAATCGGGATTGTCAAGGTTTGTCGGGAATATTATTTGCATCCCGAATTTTTAAAGAAATAAATCGGGTTTCCACCCAACGGACCATGAACTCAATAGAAGGAAACACACAAATAAGAAGAGGTGCGACACTCACAAAAATGTCAGTGCTTTATGAAAGACATCGAAGACTATTGGTGAATATATGAAGAGGTACGAAAAAAAAAATTATTCATGAAAGTTATTAGTCTGATTTCAATGTACAGTGTTATTCGTCGTGAAAAGTTCGTGGTTTACGAATGTAGTGAATTTGGCTTCAATTACCTTAAATGCTGCTGGATTTCCGAATAGTTTTCATAATGGGAGTACCTGGACGGATCAACGAAGCCAGAACGACATCCTGGTCGTGACATGTCCTCGTAATTACCGGCGGGAGTACAGTTCGCCAAGTAGTCTCCATTCATGTCCTTCAAAAAACGAAGATACAATATCAAGCATGAAAAAAAATTACAGCAAGACATACAACGTGAACTTCTCTAGCGTAATCAAGGTATTCAAGGAGCGAATACAACGGTTGCTCCATTTCCACATAAGTTCACATCCATGAGCAGTTTCTAATAGAATGTACTTTCGCAGACTACATGAAGATGATTAGCAAACAGCAAATTGTTTTGCTTGAAACTTTAGATGGAAATCGCATAGCTGTAGTTGAATGAGATCGAGCTCAATATATCAGATCGTGTTCCGCGTTTCCAATTTTTCAACCGCAGGACATTGATATTCCGAATTCTTTTAAAATCTGAACTGCTTTTTCACTTCTGTTCTTCAAACTTTTCCTTTGCAGGCCTTCGTTGAAAAAAAAAGAAATTTTTTCCTTCAAAATGAAATGATACAGTATGAAGAAAATATTTCCGATCTGCCCTGTGGGACAGCTGCTAAATTTGCGGGGCTGACTAAAAACGTTTTCTCGAGTGTGCCGGAAAGAAGCATCTTTTAAATCAACTCGAAATCGCGAAAATTAAAATTAAACAGAAAGAAATGCATAAGGCGGGGACAAAAATTTACTCACAACACGTTTTGGGTTTTCCACGTGATTTCCAGCAGCTTGGCGGCTTTGGGTTCTCATGGGCGGAGGAGGAATGCCATTCTGAAGATTCTGCTGATTCTTCATTAGAATCGATGTTTGCCGAATCTAACAAGCAAAATTGTTGATGCAATTAACGCTTTGAGCCTCTGTCTTTACAAGTCTCAAACGATAGCATGCTAAAATAAGGACATATCGTGCATGGCGAATAACTTAGATCTTTAAAGGAGCATCACAATTTCGCCGAAAACTTTGCAAAATAGCCAGATATTTCTTCAGTTTCTTCCAACCACATATAGAATGTCGGCAAAATAACCACCCACCAATGAATTTCGCCATAATCTGACACATTTGCTGGACTTTCCTTTATACTGTAAAAGTATATCGATCTGAATATTAACCTGATCATGCATAATATATTCGAATCATAATTATTTTCCATTCGGTCAAACATTTTCAATGCCGATAAATTCATTGCGCAGAGCGACGAAGTCCACAAGAAGTTAATGACATGAACGACAGATACCGGCTAATTTTCCAAGAAACTCAGAAAAGATTGAAGTTACTAATGGCGGGAGAAAAGTGATCCAAGTACGAGGTAATCTAGTCCATATGTATTGAGAATCTCGTAAGTATCACTGCAATTCATTACGCTACATACATTAACTAAATCATCCTCGATTTGAAAAAAATCCATTTAACTTGGTTGAAAAGACATGAGAAATGAATCTTGGGAGTGCATCACCCCAGGTTCAACAATAATAAAGATCACGAAAGAGCTGGGGTATGACAAAATATTGAATTAAGCATATTAAATTTAATTTGCAGTAATATTATTCAACCGAGCACTGAAATGTGCCTGGATGAGGAGTTTACGCTGTGACAGATAATTTCATCAGAAGAGAGAACATCTTTCCATACATTTTTTTAATCAGACTCAAAACTTGCCTTATTCTCATCCCTTGTAAATGAATGCTGGTGAGAATACAACCCGGCTTTTTAAATGCTTCTCATGAAGAAAAATGGATCTAAAGGCAGCTATAGATTCTCACGTTGCCCATACAAATCTCACTATATAGATGCGTACTACTTGATGGACAAGTCATGGCTTTTAAGCAAAAAGAGTCCGAACACATAATTTATTTACCTGAACATGGTTCCAAGTCCCTTGAAGAAGCTGCCCTTCTTCTTGTCCTTCGGCGCCTTGATCGGGGAAATCGCCGGCGGCGTCGGACTGTGAGTATCAGCGTCGTGTCCATTCTGCATGTGATGGTCGGTCGGCGTCTTATGAGGCGGCGGGTTCGAGTGTGACTGAGACCTCACGTGCACCACATTGGGCGGCGCATTGTGGCTCCGCTCCGGCATCGACAACTGAAGCTGGGTGCCACGAGCCAGGGACGAATCGGGTCTCACTGCAGCAGACGGGTCCCGGTGGCCTCTTCCGTGATAATGCGGTTGGGCAGCCCGGGGATTCAATGGAGGCGGTTTTTCCACGTGTTGCTGGTAATTCTGAGTAGGGGTTGACGTCGATTGCGGGCCAGGACGGCGGTTCTCAGCGGATACCGCATTTTCACCACTGCTCGTACCGTCTTCCTCAGTTACTGTTCAGAAAAGATCATTGGAAGCATCAGAATATTGTCTAAAGAGAGGGAAGGACCGTTTGGTGGAAACGTGTTTTTCGTGTGCGCCAATAACAAGTGTCTCTCGCGTGCTTCATAGACGTGGATCAGAGGAATAATTCTGGATAGATCAATTTCAAACGCAAACAAAAATGAGAGGTTAGTGAGTGCATTCATCAACGCCGCAAGTAGGAAGCATTCTGGTTAATTTACTTTAATATTAATTTATCTTTGCTCTGAAGGGCGGAAAGTTTCTTGATACTCGCTTTGTTGATGCCTGCTTATCTTTGCACTTGCTCTTTTGCGATATAAGAGCTTAAAATTAGACAGCTGAAAAATCTGATTTGAGGACTGAGAGGAATCTAAAAGCTCGAACGACCATTTCATAGATGTATTGAACGTGTGTGTGTCATCTTTACACTGATGATACGGAAATTANAGTCCCTTGAAGAAGCTGCCCTTCTTCTTGTCCTTCGGCGCCTTGATCGGGGAAATCGCCGGCGGCGTCGGACTGTGAGTATCAGCGTCGTGTCCATTCTGCATGTGATGGTCGGTCGGCGTCTTATGAGGCGGCGGGTTCGAGTGTGACTGAGACCTCACGTGCACCACATTGGGCGGCGCATTGTGGCTCCGCTCCGGCATCGACAACTGAAGCTGGGTGCCACGAGCCAGGGACGAATCGGGTCTCACTGCAGCAGACGGGTCCCGGTGGCCTCTTCCGTGATAATGCGGTTGGGCAGCCCGGGGATTCAATGGAGGCGGTTTTTCCACGTGTTGCTGGTAATTCTGAGTAGGGGTTGACGTCGATTGCGGGCCAGGACGGCGGTTCTCAGCGGATACCGCATTTTCACCACTGCTCGTACCGTCTTCCTCAGTTACTGTTCAGAAAAGATCATTGGAAGCATCAGAATATTGTCTAAAGAGAGGGAAGGACCGTTTGGTGGAAACGTGTTTTTCGTGTGCGCCAATAACAAGTGTCTCTCGCGTGCTTCATAGACGTGGATCAGAGGAATAATTCTGGATAGATCAATTTCAAACGCAAACAAAAATGAGAGGTTAGTGAGTGCATTCATCAACGCCGCAAGTAGGAAGCATTCTGGTTAATTTACTTTAATATTAATTTATCTTTGCTCTGAAGGGCGGAAAGTTTCTTGATACTCGCTTTGTTGATGCCTGCTTATCTTTGCACTTGCTCTTTTGCGATATAAGAGCTTAAAATTAGACAGCTGAAAAATCTGATTTGAGGACTGAGAGGAATCTAAAAGCTCGAACGACCATTTCATAGATGTATTGAACGTGTGTGTGTCATCTTTACACTGATGATACGGAAATTAGCTCTATAAAATAAACGGATATGAGTGACGATTCATTTCTAAACGCTAGCTGGACTGCTGGAGGGTCGCAGTCGGCTTGAAATATGCTCACAATTTCAATGTATGTCATATCTTTTGCGAGAAGATTAGCATATTCATGAATGATGAACTCGTAGCATAAAATCGTATTTGAAGACTTCGTCCCATAAAAAAATGTCGTTATGACGAGATAAACTCGATTCTTCTGCGGCGTTGAGACTATTATTGCTTGTCTACGCTACCGACAATATATAGAACAAATATGAACAGCATATACAGTATAGTACAGTTCTGAAAAATAGAAGCACGGAACTCCCGAGCACGATCTTTACATGTAAGGACATCTATCATAAGGAGGAGAAAACAACGAACCTGCTTCCATTTGAGGATGCTCCCCAGGGCGTACGTGCTCGACAAGTGGAGCATCATAGGTACGATCAACAGCGGCTCTAAAGCTCTCGTTACACCCACGACCACGAACAACACGCACTGGGTTCGGCCGGTAAGACAAGGCCGGGTCTCCGTCCTCGGCTTGACTCAACTGCGCATGGGGAGAAGAGAAAAAATCGAAGGAGATACAAGATCGGTGAAGCCCATCAAGCCAACAATTATTGCCTGACCGCAGTCCTCACCTCTTGCACCATAGTTTGCAAGGATTCCAGACTAGAAGATTTTTTCATGCCCAGTCCAGGCCCGATGTCCTTGGAGGACTTCTTGTTACGATTCGCTTCCGACGCTGCAATATTAAACATTTTAATTTTGAGTTTACAGCATAAGCTCATGCGAGACACGATCTTGGGATGATTCCAAGATGCACATACTCAACCACACTCAATCTGTCAACACCACAACCATCTATACATCACACCAGCGAACTCATGCAAGTTCATACAGCTAAATTCCAACACCAATTACACGGAAGTTCCCTCGCAAGTTTCAAGTGTGGACAGAAGATCTGAGCGTGCATGTTCGCATAAGTAGTTATGAGACATAGACGGCATATTCCCAAGATGAAATCGATCAACAAATAAGGACATAAAGTGCATTGGATATTTGGAAGAGAAAAAAAAATGAAACAAATCAATTACGACATTCGTACTGTAGCATACAATGGACGAACGATTACCAAAACTTCTCCGTGGCTTGATCATGTGCAGCAATTTCTCAAAACGTCTCTTCGGGGAGTGAAAATAACATTTAAAATGCAGCCTAAGTACCCAAAAAGCCACCGGCGAAACACCTATATGCAGAAGGACATCGATAGGTTAAGCGAGTTCATCTGGGCTAGTTATTCAAATATTGCTGAACGAAGTTTCATAGAAACTAAATAAACCCCCAAGGTACATATATGGTAGCATATTGCCAACAGATACACAAATTTCAATTGCGCGCCTGGGGAAATATTTTCAAATACACTCCAGCATCTATTTAAAAGAAACACGAGTAAAGAACGCAAAATAAGAGAACCGTATTCGTTTTACGTTCAGACGCTCGAAGAACATTCGTAACGGAAAAAGAAGTCGACCTGGCGGTTCAGATTTTAAGTACTGTACTGTATTGTGTGATAACTCTTCACGCTCGGCACTCGAACCAGAGAGATAGCAATTATATTCCCTACTAGCCAAAATGAATTTGCTCATCATTCCCCTCACAAGACGCAGATCTATAGAAGCGGAAGTCTCGCAGTCACTCACGGCGCTTCGCCAGCGAGCCGCCCATCGGGCACGACAAATAGCTTTTGAACAGGGCTTTGATGTTAGCGAGACATTCGGTGGACGGCGCTGCATCTTTGCCGCGAATCATCGGCAAGAATCGTGACTCCAACTTATCCGTCGACTGCGCCTCTCGCAGCTGTCCCGCGCGCACATCTGATTCTTCAGATTTTGTCAACTTGCAGATGTCTATCATAGACTTGGCTACAACACCCCCAACGTGGCCAAGGAGGGGTTCGAAGGAAGCAAGATGTAAAGCAGGGTTAGGAATATTGAGACAGACTCGAAGACTCAACTACGAGCAAACACTACAAAGCAAACATTTCCGTAGACTTGTTAGTCAAGGCTGTCAGTTTCTTTTTCTAATCCCTCAGAAAAAAACATTTCTACCGTTCCGATCTTTCACCTTAATATGCAAGTCAGAATTAAAACTCCAAAACAAAAAAAAGGCTCACCCTGCAGCTGCTGAATCCTCATTCGTTCCTCTCTGTGGAAAAGAAATACAACACGAGTTAAAACCACCGCAACGACTCAAGGGTATGAGTGATTCTCAGATGATACCTGATACGCTTGTTCCTCTGGTAAGTATCGGTGTTCTTGGCGTCCAATGTCGCGTGGCCTTTCTCGGACATGCTCTGGCGACCGAACTGATCACGCGAGAACCCGACAGGATTATCTTCCAGCGAAGTCCTGTAGAAAAAAAACACAATCCATAAATATTTTACCTGGAAATCTGTCGATAACAAATCTTGAAGAACCGGACAGCAGTACACTACAGTATTCGAAAACAAAATTCTGCGAAAGGTCATCAGAACCAGACAAAAATGTTGCGGATATCCTGATTTTCACAACATATTCCAATGCATAAAAATGTCAGGAAGTAGAATTTATGATTTTGGGATGGATGGAGACCACGAGGAATTGAGAATGAAAAATTGAACAGCACCGCTTTTATGCGAATAAAGATGAACTCACTGTGACGCGTAGGCAACGTCGGAATTATTGCTAGTGCGCCTGGAGTCCGATCCAACCATGGAAGAGCTGCGACAAATATTATAGAGAGAAATATAAACAAACACTCCAGTTCAATGAAACACGGCCAATTCCAGCAATCGAAACCGCGCTAATGACATGGACCAGGGCATCGACTCAAAAAACTTTTCCACGCACTTGCACTCGCGCAGCGGCAACGGAGGAACGTATTCGTCTTCTATCATGACGCTTTCGTGGTTGGGCTGCGAAATGATCGTGCCGCCGGGTCGCACGCCGCCGTTCACCATTCTTACATGGTCCACAACGTCATCTTCGCATCGTTTTCCGGACACCAAATAGGATAAATGACTAGACGTCGTGCCGCCGGACGACCAAGATGCCTCATGGTTTGCCTGGGTCACGAAATCAAAATTCGCAGTGTTTTCAAATTTGAGCGAGTCATGCGCAAGACAGAGAGGTGTGAATGATTCTCACCATGCAATAGCTGTCGTTCCGCAAGGAATTCTGACCCGTTATCCTATCAATCACCGGGTTCCGCAACGGGAGTACATCGAAACCTACATGAATAAATGCACAGTTATTCAATTTAAAAAAGGCAGCAGGCTCTTGAATTTAAAATGCTACAGCAATTTAAAATATAAAAAAAAATCACTAACAAATTGCAATCACCGCATTCACATGATAACGAGCCGCATTGTTCGCACAAGAACTGAGCTGAAAAACTCAGGTGCGTCCTACTACAGTATATAATCGAGGTATTTGAGGATAATCTGGGTGGAACGAGATCTCCGAAAAAAATGCAGCATATTTCTCACATAAATAAAGCAATTGGAAAAATAAACACTGAGATTTGTTCGAGGTGATTTCTTGGTATTTTTTTGGGTTATTTCAGCACAAGGATGCATTTTTAGGAAAGCACATGTAATCTTTTAACCATTTTAATTTTTTCTGAAATTCCGAAGACCAGATAAAATTACTGAATTTTACTGTACTATTTTATGCGTGTACATTTTCCTTATTTTCCATCAAAATTCCAAAACTTTCGGCGGTCTTTTTTGTCGAAATTTTTTTTTTTCCTCGAATGACTGACCAAAATCAGGGCGCGGGCTATAATTGCAAGCGGTTTATGATCGCGTAAATACAGGAACGGCGACCAAAAACATTTACAGTAAATTTCAACAATTATGAAGTTACGGTGAGAAAAATGTTGAAATCGTCAACTGGACTCGAAATGGTCATCGTAAATTACCAAGGTCTCGATCTTCTATCCGATGCTTCTTCAGAGACAGAGATGGCACATTTCCGCGAGACGAACTCGTAACCGGAGCAGATGACCCAAAATCCGAAGTGTACTGTTGGTTTTTCCCATAACAACCATCGTCAAGAGTTTCCGCTGATCCGGATAAGCTGCTATTCCCGATGTTTCTGCTAGCAAAAAAAGAAGAGAAGAAACTCGTCCGTTGATCAGAAATCATTTCAGAAAAAAAAGCGAAGTCTCACCCAGAGGATTGTGAGCTCGGGGATGAGCGGAAATCGTCTCCTCCTATTGCTTGTCTTCGTCGGGCAATCGTTAATGTTAGAATTCCGGGAGTTGGACCTTCCTGGCACATGGCTTTTCGGAGAGTTTCCATCGCGTCGGAGTTGGACTTATCCAGCAATGAGATTCCGTTGATGTTCAACAACTGGTCATTAGGCATCAATCGCCCATCCTAAGAAAAAGGAAAAAGTTAGTATTTATTGAATAGAACAGCTACATGATCCCAGTTCGTATTCGATTACTTGCCTTTGAAGCTGCTCCTCCGTTTATGACACTTTTCACAAAGATTCCGAGATCATTATTGTTGGAAGTTTTTCCCTTCACAGAGACGCCTAGTCCGGCACGTTCCGAGTCATGCACTGGAATGTCAAGCGTCATGATTTCTCGCTGCTTGGCAGCTGCTTCCTCTTCTGCTTTGTCGGACGGCTTTAAAAAAAAAAAAAAGGAAGCTTGTTAGCAATAAGTAATCACGAAAAAGTCGCCGGGATCCGGAACAAAATGGATCATCCAGAAATATCGCTCTGACAAATAAGAAGGCAATTCCAGAATTTTTTTTCAGTCTCATACTTCTTTTGTTGGAATCTCGATTGGCTTGATGGAGATGGACACAATAACTTACTGTTCATTTTCGACCTTTATCACATATTTTGTAATCTACGCAACATGAATTTGAAATGGAGGGAAGACAACCGAAAATGCACTCGATCACTATCGAAAAAAAACGGGGTTTCCTATTACTACGTGTATTTGCTTACAGTTCTGCTGAATGAGAAGATTGCATGGAAATGTCGAAAAGTAAGTAAAAAAATTGCTCAAGGACTAAACCGGAATAAAATCTTCAATGAGCAGCAGCCTACTTAAAATATGCATTTGATTATACAGTACTGCCTGTATACAAGTCGGGAAGGTTTCCTAGTCGAAAACTGGACGATCGAGGGGACATTTCCAAAGCATTGTTAACAATTTTTGAACGATCCCTCGTACCGAATTACAGATACGCCGTTTATATCCGATTTCGGATCTGAGAAAAGCTCGGCGCGAACAGATCTCTGCTCTCATTTCTAGGTAAACCTCAGATGGAACTTATTGGCGTGAAAAATAAGATGAAAAAGTTTCTGAATACTCACAAGTTCGCGAGGAAGTTTGGGGGACAGGTCCTTTTCTTCTTTTATCTCCTGCCGAGATACAGTAAGGATAACCTTCGTACCCGTGGGGACATTGCGGAGAACGTTCACAGCATCACTTTGCGATTTCCCATTCATGTCTGTTCCGCTGACCTCCAGCAGTCGGTCACCAGGCTTCAGACGCCCATCCTCAATCGCTGCTCCCTGTAATTGACGCGCGGGTGCAAATGAATGCGGAAAGACATTTAAACGTTGAGAAAACTAGGGGGAAATAACGTAGCTCCTCGTTATTACCTTCGGAAGAATATTTTTGACATAGATAGGAGCCGAGCCGCCTGCTGGATTATCCCTCGTGGTCAGACTGAAGCCCAAGCCCTGCGGTCCTTTCACCAGATCGATCGTCAGAATTTTCCCTGCTCGCGTTCAGGAGAAAATCCGTTGCATTTTTTATTCGTTCTTCGGTTCTCAAAAGCGATTTAAAACGCATTTCTCTACGCACCTATTTTTCTCGTGTTCGCACTCATAAGAACATTCGACGTTCTGTTCGGTAAAATTGACTTCTTCAAGCCGGACGTGGGCGTCTTCACCTCTTCTGCAAATATAGGAGAAAAGTTCACATTCTATGCAGTGCATACCAACGAAAAAAAAAAGCCAGTATGGAATGAAAGACCCGTGGATAACTACGCTAATGAAAGATGCATCAAGGCCATGCATGATGTATTCATGAGGAAATTCTTAAACGCCTTCACGAGACGTTAATGAAGAATAAATTATCAACGCGGAAAAAATTGCAGCGCACGTTCTGGTAATCTTGTCTCGGACTTCGGCAACTCACGTACGAGGGAAATTTTTACACAGTATTTCAGAGACGCGTGTAAGGAAGTGGAATGAAATCAACCCAGCACACAAATGATGGCACGGAAAATCTCAAGGATGAAATGATGCAAAAGGCGTATTTACACGGCTGTTTGATCCACGCGGAAATTCGTGCACACGTGCCTCCAGAAAATCCATAAATGTATCCAGTAAAATATTTTTTACATTGGCTCAATATCCGTGTGCGGTCAGAAAATGATGAACTTTAAATTCATGGAACAAATGACGAATACAGTGTATGAGGGAGTCTTAAATCCGCAATGAGTCCCATTATTCCATTTTATCAAACAGTACTTTGAGCGTTTGTAGGTTAGCCTACTTGATAAGATACAGTACTACAGGTAATTCCGAACGATTGAACGGATTACTCATGCCTTCCACATCTTTTTAAATTGTTCATAACACGCTTTTTCTGCCAAGGATGATCAAGAAAAATAAATCAATTCACCAGCGCATTCTACATAGCATATTCAAACATGCCGGTATGCTTGATTCGTGTCTAAATCGTTGGATTTAAGCTCGCAAAAATATTCCAAAACTTTAATAATGGAACGCTCCAATTTTTGAATCTAGCGTTTCAATCGAGTGAGAATACGTAAAAAAAAGGCGTAAGACGAATAAAATATATGGCAGAGTATATAAAATGTTCCTCAACAATATTGATGGTAAATTCCTTCTCAACAGCTATGACCTATGAGCGGAAATGAGAAAAGTAAAATATCGCACGGTTCGAGGTAAATTTCCTTGAAGACTTTGAAATGACAGACCAAGTTACGACCATCTATCAAAATCGAACGAAATTGCCGTGAGCCGGAAAGGTTCCGTGGGTAATGAAAAATTGGTCTGACGCGGCGCGAACCACTCGTTCCTCTCCAAAAATGAAACCTATATGTAGGACCTTTCTTATTCTTAAGAACTGATTTATTAAAACAAAAAAATCGCAGAGAGAACCAAAAGCACCCGCGAAACTTGACAGCGTACTTTAATCACAATCCTTTTTCGGCGATGGAAACAATGTATTTCGACCGCGTAAGGAGTCTGGAAAAGCGAAGAAGAAATAGACGACGCGTTGAACGGAGCAATTAGGGTGAACGACACCGATCGATTCGATCGGCGGGGGATTAACGCCTTAGGCGGAAAAAGGCATCCCGGGTGCGGCGGACTCACCTCTGGGTTCCCCTTTGCTCCACACGAAACTGTCTTTGTCCTTCATACCCTCGACGAGGCGCCCACTGGCTTTCACGACTCGTAACAAAATATCCGGGCTTTCCATCGCCTCCTTGAACAATTCGTGCGCACTGAAACGAAGCCATGAGAGTCAGTTTAATAAGGGGGTGAGCATTCACCATTCGACCCCATAGGGATCCGATCGCAAAACAATTGAAATGTACTGTTCATAGACCAAATGCCTCCTTTTTTTTTCGAGTCGACACGACTTTGACGATTTCGTCGTCAACATCACTGATGGATGAAATTTTCCCCGAATAAGCGCAACATTTGATGAAATTTAAATTCTTTTCTGACAATCCGCTTACTTGAAAAAAAAACGGACTGCCTAATAAATACACCTTGAAATTCATTAAAATTTTCAAGCGGGAAAGAAATTAATTTTCCACAATAAATTCATCCCGGCACTTCAAAAAACAAGATTTTAGTATTTCACTGAAAGATATTTCACACATACGCATTCAAGATTGAGGAAGCAACAAAACCTTGCGATCCTCTGCGTTGTTCACGGTGAACGAGAATGCAAACAAATCATGATTTCAATGGGAAAATTATGGTTGAACACACTTGAAATCTAAAAGTAGACACTGGAATTTAAAAATAAAAACCGAGTTTACATGTATAAATGAGCTCATCTCACAAGCGGAGCATCTGTTTACAGATTAGTCGAAGCTGATTGCAATAAATGTAATACATACGAGGAACATAGCTCAACAGAAAAATAAATCAAGCTTTACAAAGTTTAAACTATCCTTTAATATAAAAAAAAGCCGCAGTAGAATTTGAATTGCGAATGTTTAGAAGAGCATGGCAGTCTCCCAATGATATCGTATACAGTACCATAAAAATTGAAATACAGTTGTACTGTCAAAAATATCCAGTTAACGCGTCATCGCTCAAAACCAATATTTATTTGCGGACTCTTGAGATAGCTTGTCGGCAAGTAGCTTCGAAATGGAATTTATTCCACATCCCGAATATTCCCGCGAGGTATAAGTCAAAAGGACGGAAATGTTCGACTTCCCGAGAGAATGAAGGATGGCGCGTCATGCATACGGAATGATGAACAACATTTTTGTTTTCTTTTGCTTCCTTTATTTTATTTTACTTTATTCATTTTTTCCTTCTCACTATAGATGCGATGCATAAATTATCAACGTACTTGGCGAACGGCATGTTGATCAGGTGCTGGCCGTTGATCTCCACAATCCTGTCGTGAACTTGGAGCTGGCCATCGCGGTGAGCGCGGCTGTCGGGCTCGAGACGCTGCACCCGGAGGCCTCGTTCCACACCGGTGTCCGGGTCATAATCCGGAACCACATGCAGGCCCAGAGATTCTCCTTCCGGTCGGATCAAAATTGTGACCTCCTCCCTGCAACGCATAAAAAGACGAACGACAGATACATAAAGATGCGAATTACGATGAGAAAGGGGGAAAAAAACCGAACAATTTTGATAATTGTTCTTGCCATTCACTTCATTTCAGTTATATATACGATTACTACCAAAAAATTCACAGAAAAAACAAGTACTGTAGTCTCTAAAACATTTTTTGTTGTTGCCATAGTCACCCTTTTAACAAGGGTGAAAGACGCATGTGCCGGAGTCTGAATATAAATTTGACGGGGAAAAAATAGTACCGTGTTTTTCCTGTTTATTGCCTAGTTTTTCCCAGAGAGTTCCACACTTCGATTTATTGAAAAGCTGAATTACTGAATTTACACATGATCACCCTTCTCCTCTCATTCGTGTCGATTGAGGACACATTTTTGACTGGCACGAAGAAAGATAAAGCACAAATATCACACACTGAAACACGAGTAAGAAATTCTGTAACAATACTGTTTTTTCAATTCAGTTTTCTACCACAGGTTATTCAGAAAAATCAGACAAGAAAATTTATGTTTCTTCACTCAAGATTCTCACAGATGGGCTTCTCGTTTGCAAGATTCTAAATTTATTCCATACGATACACGCAGGTCATGACTAGGAAATCCCTGTTCGAACAATTTTCCGGACGTAAACCTTGAAACTATACACGAAAAGAAAGACATCCCCTATGATTTCGTAAAAGAATTGAGCCACATAAATCGTTGATTGTTCAAGGAAGCCCCGAGAAGGAAATGCGGAAGTACAGTTTGAAGCTTCGAATGAAAAGTTTCAAACGGCACCTTCGTAAGAAAATGTCTGCATTGTACTGTACATCTGGGTTTCACATCAACGCGGTAAAAAATTACAGGAGAACGCAAGGAATGCTCTTTGTACACCTTAACGTCGTCCATGCTCTGGAGAGAATACCCGGAGTCCCAGACCGAAGGAGGATAACTACGCAGTCAACAGCGGCACAACAATAGCTAACAGGAAGATACAATACAAAAAAAAGGAAGGTACGATCAGATGCGAAGGAACCCAAGTACGTCTTTCTGATTAATCACGGTGTCATCCTTGCGCAACTAAAGAACAAAATGACCCGGAAAATGCGACGAGAACACCCAACAGAAGGAGAGACGGAAATTACGGACATGACGGAATTCTCAAGACTCTCGAGCGAACAGCATTTCAACGATTAATTGGAGCCTCGACCTACTCACTGCAAAAGGTTTCCTTCTCCTATTCTATTCTATTCCAGTACGGAACACACTATACATGCTTAGTTCAACCTTGAATCGTGAAAAATCAGTTCACGAACGATGATAGATCAATCCCATTCGAAAATATGAATAGCCCCATCGGGGGAACAATTCTTAATGAGTTTTAGAAATATCGCGCAACAGCATCCCAACACGAATGTTGGCAACATTTTGAAATCAAAAATCCTGACCGCGTCACAGAACAAGTACCGATCATAATTAATAACCATCATAAAATGAAGACTATAATATTTTTGACGCGCTCCAAGCACTAAGCGCGGCTCTCCCTATTTGTTATTTATTTGTGCCATCTCATGACATGTCGGAATGGCGTCGAAGTATATTCGCTCTTTTATTTAATAGTTTCGTTATGGTTAAGTCGAAAAGTGTACAGTATATGTACCCCTGTAAGACAGGCTCTCGGGAACGTTTCGGTTTACGAGCTAACCACAGAGAATACTGTAATCCAAGAGTTGTGCAAACGTTGTAGGGATGCCTCGGTGTAATAAGAATAAGGTACAGTTCGCGGCTTTCGCAATTGCACACAGAAGCCCAAACCATAGAACGGTTTTACTGCGACTTCGGCTAGAGAACCAAGGCAGTTAATCACTCGTCCTGATGTATGTAACGTCTAAACAGGGTCAACGGTGCTTCGCCATAAAACAATCGTTTCGCAAGAATGCATAATTGACGGAAGAAGCGACTTCATGATGACCCCCTGCGAAGCGAACAATTCTTAAAGAAGTTAAGGATTGGGTGAAGAGCCCTCGGATTATATGTCGTAAGGTAAAATCATACCCTCAACTTCGAAAATTTAGGTTTCATACTTCAACTGCCTTCCTTCCTTCCCCTAAATAGCGGTTGCTACGATTAGAATTTTTATTTTATTTTTTAATTTCGCCGTCCGAGCATCTAAACTGAAGACGAAGTTCGCCACCTCCGAACATTTCTTAAAATTACTTACGGAACAGCCTGCCGCAGAAGGCAGAAAATACTCAGTCCAATCATTTAGTCCCATGTGATAAAAAATTAAAACAGAACTGAGATGAATAATCGCAGAAGTATGAGTACCTCAGACTCAGGTTTGACCCCCAGGAAAGGAAATTATTAGAAATGTAACGCTCGAAAATTCCTGCAGTTCGTTGGAAAAACCTTTCCCAAAGTTCCTATAATTACTTCAGATCGTAAAAATAAGCTGCCAAAATCCCTGCAATTTCCTAATACCATTCGCGGAAAATGCTGAGATAATGGTCAGCTTTTTCGTGAGAGAATTAAAGGTGACTCATTAAGGAAAATCATATTTATTGTACTGCTTCAGAGGACTAAATATTGGAAGAAAGCTGACACTTCAGAGATGTTATTCGTTGTCATGTGATATCTCAGTTTTAAGCCGCGCGTAGTTTCCCACTTGAAAAAAAGGAACGAAAACCAATTCCAGTACTGTACGAAGATTTGCCAGGACGCTACGCCGTCAATGCATCTGCATGACAGGTGGTTTCCGTTATCACAAAAAAATAATAATTCGACTTTAACTGAGTATATTTTTTAGGTAAGTGCGAGGTATAGCTCGGAAATACAATATTATCAACAACTGAAAATTAAAATCTCTGGGTACCACCAACATTCCTGAGTCAGAATTTTAAAAGTCACGGTGGAATAGATAAGATAACTTAGAAGGAAGCCAATGTTTATTTGCTGAAGATTTTATTCAGGTGAAATCCTAGCTCGGGAAACATTTTTCACACCAAATAACATTCCTGGGGACCCTTTCCCCAGTTCATGTTATGGCATCATTCACCTGGAGTATGATTATAAAATCTAGGAGACTGTCACCGAGGAGGCTTCTTAATTACCGTTTCCGAAATATTTGGGGCCTCGAAGCCAACATAACATTCAAGTGCGACAAGGAAACCTTACTTCGTATGCATGGAGTACACTTTTAATTTATTGAGGAAATCAGCAAACGCTACTTTCGTGAAAATCATTTCCAATAACATTCCTTCCCAAACACGGAGGGAATTCAAGACGGGACGAAAAATGTTGCACCAACCCTATCAATTAAGCAGGCGGGGCGAAAACGCGCTTGAACTCAGCGTAACAATCCAGAAATTCGCAACAACAACAAAAAAAACGAAAGAAAGACATTTTTCGCACGCACCTTTCTCTTTCTGAATCGCTGTGATCCGGACTAAATTCCTAACCCACTTCTCGGGAGCCTAATATACAGCATTCCATTTTAGTATGGGAGTTGAAGCTTTTAAATCCAAAGTATGAAGTTGACGGAAGGAAGGAAGGGGATTTATCGCCAACGATGCTAACGAATTTTTATTTTATTTTTTAATTTCGCCGTCCGAGCATCTAAACTGAAGACGAAGTTTGCCACCTCCGAACATTTCTTGAAATAACTTATGGAACAGCTTACCACAGAAGGCAGAAAATACTCAGTCCAATCATTTAGTCCCATGTGATTAAAAACTAAAACAGAACTGAGATGAATAATCGCAGAAGTATGAGTACCTCAGACTCAGGTTTGTCCCCCAGAAAAGGAAATTAATAGAAATGTAACGCTCGAAAATTCCTGCAGTTCGTCGGAAAAACCTTTCCCAAAGTTCCTATAATTACTTCAGATTGTAAAAATAAGCTGCCAAAATCCCTGCAATTTCCTGATACCATTCGCGGAAAATGCTGGGATAATGGTCAGCTTTTTCGTGAGAGAATTAAAGGTGACTCATTGAGGAAAATCAAATTTTATGTATTGCTTCAGAGGACTTAATATTGGAAGAAAGCTGACACTTCAGAGATGTTATTCGTTGTCATGTGATATCTCAGTTTTAAGCCGCGCGTAGTTTCCCACTTGAAAAAAAGGAACGAAAACCAATTCCAGTACTGTACGAAGATTTGCCAGGACGCTACGCCGTCAATGCATCTGCATGACAGCTGGTTTCCATGATCACAAAAAAAAATAATAATTCGACTTTAACTGAGTATATTTTTTAGGTAAGTGCGAGGTATAGCTCGGAAATACAATATCATCAACAACTGAAAATTAAAATCTCTGGGTACCACCAACATTCCTGGGTCAGAATTTTAAAAGTCACGGTGGAATGGATAAGATAACTTAGAAGGAAGCCAATGTTTATTTGCTGAAGATTTTATTCAGGTGAAATCCTAGCTCGGGAAACATTTTTCACACCAAATAACATTCCTGGGGACCCTTTCCCCAGTTTATGTTATGGCATCATTCACCTAGAGTATGATTATAAAATCTAGGAGACTGTCACTGAGGAGGCTTCTTAATTACCGTTTCCGAAATATTTGGGGCCTCGAAGCCAACATAACATTCAAGTGCGACAAGGAAACCTTACTTCTTATGCACGGAGTACACTTTTAATTTATTGAGGAAATCAGCAAACGCTAATTTCGTGAAAATCATTTCCAATAACATTCCTTCCCGAACACGGAGGGAATTCAAGACGGAACGAAAACTGTTGCACCAAACCCTCTTAATTACTGTCCGCCCCGCTTTTGCGCGAACTTGAGTCGCATTGTTAGGTCTTTAAGCGTTGTTGTTGTTTTTTTTGCTTTCTTTCTGTAAAAAGCGTGCGTGGAAAGAGAAAGACTTAGCGACACTAGGCCTGACAGGCTGCTGCCCAGTGGCTCTCGACGCGGCCCATCCAAACAATCCTTGTCGAGCCATCGTGACAGGATCAAGTCCCCGGTGAAGCTGCCAACCTGCATGGACAGTCTCGTCGCATCGCGGGACCGTCGACTCATGTCCCCGCTGCCAATCCCTCGGCTGAACGGCGACTTGGAACTCGACATCCCGCCGCTCGTCCCGCCATCACTGGACCCGTCGTCTCTGTGGGAATCCTCTTCCGGTACCTGCGCGGAATGAGCACAGAAAACGACGCTATTATCATACTTGATGCTCCAAAAAACGAAGAAAAAAAAATAGGTGAGCACATGACTGGACCTCCTTCCCAGAACAGATATATTTCAAAGGGATAGAAAGAAATCGGAAGAAATACAGCCAGCGCGTGTCTGGACAGGAAGAACACAAGCATCCATGTACGAAAAAAAAAAGATAAATGTTCAGACCGTGAGATGCAGTCGAATAAAGGGTTTGTACTTCGAAATATTCATGCTTTCATATACGATATTTTTTTCTCGTCTCGCCTCGGTGTCTGCTCACTGAAAAACACCCATTCACAACTTCAAAAGGAATGCTGACTAGAAATTTCATCTGTCATCAAATCAGGACGTGGTGACGCATAGAAAAAAAAAGAAGAGGAAGGAACCATAACAGAACGTAAAGGAAGCTTTTCCATGGCTATTTCACTGATCAGAACACGATAGCGCCGAGTTCGGACAGAAATCAAGACGGCTTTTAAAACAAAATAATAAACAGAAATAATACATTCTTTCGACGTTTTGAGATTACGGCTGCGAGACTTCATGAAATAGAAATATCCCAAATTGATATTGTTCTTATTTCGACATGAACCTTTGGTACATTCGATCTCCACGTATTTCAGATTAATGGTCGTGTGCATTAGCCCAGGTGCGTCACGAATTGAAATGGCATCAAAACTTGTCGAACCAAAACCTGATATAATTTTTGAAAAAGTCTCGAAATGCATCATCAAGGGTAATTTCCCTCGAATAATGAGCTAATGACTTAATGAGTCTACTAGGCTAAATAAATTGGCTGGAATCGAAATCATACACGCCGTTTTGATTCTTCGCAATCTACATTTAGGTTCTGTCGATCAAGCTTATATACGACATGCATCATCTCCATAAGCACCCATACAAGAAACGAACAAAAAAACAGAAAACCATCAACAAAAAAGGATCTTGAAAATTTACTGAACGCGGTTGATGTTTGTATCGCGATAGTGCTCAAGAGTCACGAACACCTTTTTCTTCGCTGGAGAAGGAATCATTCATCGAACAAATATAGAGCTTTTCAAAGTCGATATGCTTATCTACCCTCGCAGCAACGGTCAATACTACAATCCCAGAGAAACTGACTAATGAAACATGGGTGCATCTGTATCCAGAAATTGATAAAGTGGGCTTCGATTTTCTAGGAACCGAAGGCTGACTGACGCAACCCCTCCACCCCTGGGTATCAATACTACAATCCCAGAGAAACTGACTAATGAAACATGGGTGCATCTGTATCCAGAAATTGATAAAGTGGGCTTCGATTTTCTAGGAACCGAAGGCTGACTGACGCAACCCCTCCACCCCACCCAGGACTGTGGCGCACCGTTCGTGTGCTCCTTTGTACCTCTAGTTCACCCTAAGCCGTGAGCCCCTCAGGCGCAGCCGAGGTTCGTCCTTTTAGTAGGCAGAAGGCGAAGAGGAATCGTGTTTAGAGGGAATCACTCGGACCATGTCGACAACACAGTTTCCGGCGTCCTCTCATCAAAACACACACAGCCCGACGCAACCAGAAACATCACGAGCTTCTTTTTTATTTTTTTATTTTTACGCAAGGATAACAAACCAAACAAGAGAACAGGAAAAGCAACATCGCCATGCACCGACTGCATCGGGGAACATCCCCTAGCTGAGTCATCACGAACCCGGGCAATCTCAAAAAGTAAAGATTCTTTCAACCTCGTCCAAAAGAAAAAAAAATATATCTTTCGTATCAAAGTTTTTACGATAAAAAAACCCCCATCGCCCAACACCGTTCGCATCGGAATGAGAAAACTCCAATTGTTTTTGTAAGGTCAAATTTTCCACCGATAGGAAATTGCCGAAAATGTGAGCCAGAATTAGGCCGTAATTGCAGAATTTTCAATCAACTTTCACCACCAACTTGAATTTCCCCCCGACAATATACCTCTTGAGTCAAGGACGAAAAATGGCAGAAATGACTCCCTCATGCGCGACTACAACAGAAGGGCACAGAATACTCTTAATGATTCTGCTTTAATGCTCGCATCATGTGGAGGACTCTTGTTTTATTTCTTTGTTCCCGGTCGTAATATCTCGACAGCAAAAGAAGGCACATGGCAGCATGATGTTACTCCTGCACATGGCGGCGTAGTAATGACGCAGTTCCCGCGTCTTGTCACAATTCGCTCGCCTCAACATAATTTTCTTTCAATTACAGCGAAAATTTCCCTCCCAATTGAACAAACGGTGAAGACCCACTAGTGCTCCACTTCCAACCGTTATGACATATTTAGCTCAAGAAACCATGACATGTTCGCTAAGCAGTGCATTAGTACTAGAGCCAATTTCACAGCTAAATACGAGCACACGCAAATGCAGTAAAATGTATTATTCATCGTACATAATTTCCGTATGCAGTACAGTTAAAGCTTGAAATCACACGAAGTTCGCAACGGTGACCAGAAATCATTCCCAAACCAGTCTAAAATACTCTGAAGTTGAAAATACTGTTAACACAAGAGTTTTGAATGGTCAGTTGACAGCAGGTTATCTGAAGTAACGGGTAATGTTTACAACCTTCATAAAAATGCTCGCGTCAAATTTTTATTGAGGAACATTCTATTCTAACGTGCGTTGGTCACTCTAAAAATAAATCAAGAACAAAAACAATGCGGAAGACATAAATACTCTTTCGCACAATTTCAAATTGTCTCCCGCACAATTACTTGCATGGGATTTAATGCGTTCGACGCATTTCAATGTGATAACTTGGACCACTTACTGCAGTACATAAAATGGATACTTTTTTTCCATCCCATAAAATACAGTATCTGGATTCCAAATCGCACGTACCGTATCATTCGATGCAAGAACGGAGAGATGAGTGAGTACAGTAATTCAATCCCCGAGTACCTTGTCAAATGTCCGAAGAATAAAAATCTATATACCCGTGTTTCAAAACAGGTCAAGAGCAAGTCCATCCCCGCGATGGAACATTCAAAGAGCTGGAACACATGTGTGATAAGCCCGATACCTTGACTTGCGAAACAGGAAACGACCAAAGGAAGGTCGCACATATACAATACGAAACAAAAAGTCATGAATCACGCTTGACAGACACATCTCACATGTAAGAAAAGCATGCGGGAAATCAGCGAAATCGAATCCACAGCACCCGAAGGAACATCGCGTTCAATATTCTGTTCTTGGGGTTAGATTGCGAATTTTTTTTCTTCCGGATGGAAGGAAAGGTTTCAAGTGTTACGTCCACGAATCTGAAGATTCATCAAATACTACTAATACTTTCCATAAACCGAGGCCAACGTGATATCAGGCAGATAGCCGTTATCAGCGGAATGAGCTTGTCGCAACACGCAGGTGGAAAAAATCTTTTATGCCGAATTTTGCGTTGTTTGGTGGATACAGTACAGAATACGTGAAGAGTATCAGACAATTACTCACACACGAATCAATCAGCCGAAAGAAGAAACGCTTCGAAGAAAAATGCGAGATAACCTTTTCAGAAATTTTGAGTCAACTCAACACCCACCCGAGGTTCTCCTAAAAAAATCAGAAATCGTCTCAAAAATTGTGGATGCGTCGTTTCGCTGCTAGAAAAAAAAAACATGCACCCAGTTCCTCAGTTTGCAAGTCTAGATGTTATTCAAGACAGCGTCGTCGACCCAAAGCAGCGGAATTTTAAAGCGACACGCGTAACACTGGGTTCGTTTTGTTTTCCGTCATTCCTTCACGTCTCCTACTGACTCCGTTTTATGATGGACAAGAGCCCCTGGGAAGCATTTCACCAGGAAACGCGCATAATTCAACACCGCGGCCCTTGGAGCGCGTTTGCATTTTCCTTCGCGTCAACAGCGGGGTCTAGTTGAACCCTGATGAAAAACGTCATTGCTCAGAGCAAACCCGACTTTGACCCTTAAAAAAAAAAACCAGTTGAAATGCACCAACTCGAGAACGACTGAAAAAGGTCGACACAATCATTTGTCTGCAACTTTGCGAGGCAAAAACAATGAATGACACGTGCAGAACCGCTGCTGAAAATCCGAGAGACAAAAATAACAGGGCGAATGTTTGTCATCGAATGTGCTTGGAAAGGCAGTCGAAATTCATTCGCATTTTTGGAAAGCAAGAAAATTAGCTTAAATATTTAGTTTAGTTTAAATATTTACTCTGCTGAGACTCAAAGTAAAATATTGTACAGTGCTGCATCGCTGTTCATCGTACTGCATAAAAATCCTTTGTAAACAATATGCCAGGTAAAATTTGTATACAGTAAATGAACAAGACATGCAACCCAACCAACACCTGTAAAGCAGAAATAAAAGGGACGAAACTTTGTCTACGAACAAGGTTTGAAATTCCAACCGACTGTGAACGAAGAACCGCCTGTGAACGAAGAAAATTCTTTAGTACTTGAAGTACCTGGACTTCCGAAGAACCAATTGATGATTGAGAAACAAAACAAATGTCTCGGATTTACGTATCCCTACTGTTGTAGGGATTCCATCGATTCATTCAATTTGAAAGTTTGAGAATAACATGGTACCTAGGACAGCACTCAGTCATTAAGGACGCAAAGATATGCAGGCCAGAGTAATTAATGATTTCAAAAAATTTGAACCAAATTTATTCTGTGTGCATTTCGTTTTACTCGTACTTTCTCACTCAGAGAAAATGAAAAGATTGCAAGCAATCCACCAAATTTCCAACTTTTTGGGGAAGGAACCATGTTAATTCAATTCCAACAATCGAAGTGCGGTGAAAAATAGTTGAAGCCATTTTTCTTCCGGAAATTAAAGGAAAGAAGATAACTAAGGCAAAATACTTTTTTAACTTCAGCAACAATTCAGTACATTTCCATCTGAACACCGTATAAGGATCACCCATCGGTCCTTCAAGTTTTCGCCTCACAATGCGACACATGAACCTTCATGAAGACTCATTCCAAGCCTGGTTTTGTCATGTTTTTGTTTTTCTTTCCGCGAATTTCGGTCGACTTCAGCCACGCCTTTGCACTCGGGAAATGAACGAACTTGTGGAGGAATTCTCATCTGCAAATGTAAAGACTTCAATGAGATCTGAGAGAGTACTGATCTTGATTGATGTAAAATGGCGGCGTCAATTCTCCAGTAGAATGTTCTGGAATATTCCTGTGGATTCCTGAAACTAATCGACATTTATTATTGCAGGTTTTTACGGTACCCGCAACCGGAGGACGGTACGATAATGTACCGAATTATTCCGCCACAACACATGAACTTTCATGAGCTGAGTAAGGTTCGGACCAAAACAGTACAAAAACAAAAAGAAAGGCGCTTAAAGCCAGCTGAAGTCGGTGCGGAAACGTGAGCCCTTTACTTGCTTGAACACCTCCTTAAGAGTAGACGTTTACATTCCGACTCATACAGCGAAAAAAAAATACGACCCTGGGGCGATGACTTCGGTATTTTCAATTCCACTCGAGCATGCGTCGAATCTCGATCAAACTTTACTCAATCCAATAGCAACGAGAAACGGACTTCTGAATAGGGGTCAGATCTGAAGATTAGGAAAGCTTGATTCACGGCTTTCGGTCACGAAATGCTGTGAAGCCTGACGAAAGGCTTTTCGTTTTGGCCTTCATTTTATGCGAGGACTATTTATTGTTCTTTTTTAATAAACTTGTAACCGCTACAAAATCATGCACTGGCTGGTACTCTGTAAAATAGCTGAAATATCAAAACATTTTATTTATTTTTTCGTACGCAACCGTGACCTAGGACGGAAATGTTGCCATACAGACTTGAATTTTAAAACGATAACAGACAAAAAAAATGTAGACACGTATTGAGAATAAAAAATGCGCTGAACAAAATCTTGAATTTTGATTCGATTCCATGCGCTGCATGCAGACGAGTCCTGCATTTAATCACCTCAGGTTATTTTATCACTAATATAATTTTACAATTTGTTTCATCAAGACTGGAATCCCATTGAATTGCTTTTTGCTTACGTCAGTTTGCAGTACAGTACTTCGAAATAACGCTGCAGCACTTTTCGAAGTCCAAATTAATGCTCATATGACATAATCGTGTAGTTACGTTCGGATCACTTAGATTAACGACAGTCGACCTTGTTAATTAAGTTACCTGCTGCCTGCTCAGTAGTGAAAAATGTTAGAAAGAGAGTAAGGCAATTCACGCCTCTTCTGGCAAATGATGGACAATAACGACGTTATCACAGTCGGTTGAGTACAGAAACAGTAAATGGTACAATGAAGGAACCACTGACAGACAACCCCCCTCCTCTTACTCGTCTTTTGATTCCAGCAGAACCAACTGGATATAACGGGAAAAAGTTATTAGTCATTTAGGTGACGCACAAAAAATGTAGGAGCTATACAAACAAAAAAAAAAACTTGCAGTAATCACATTTATCTCGAGGAAACAAATAATTCCCATTTGCTGGCACGCATAACATCGTCAATGCACCGCAAGAACGTCGTTCGTCTAATCTTCACGAGACATCGAACTTTCCATACCGCATAGTTGGGACAGATACAATCAAAGAAACAACGGTTCCGTACGGGGGGGAAAACTTCCACCCGAAAACTTGGAATATCTTTGTGGAGTTTCTCCTCCTCCTCCCCCCTTCGGGTTTCTTCAAAATTTCCTGGATATGAAGGTCTTTAAGACTAAGTAGCAAGGCCCTTTATCCAAAACTACTTGCCCGAAGTGAACGCTTCTTTATTCCAAGGCACCCAACATTCCACGTGGAACTTAAATACGGATTTTTAGATTGTCCATGAATTTAAAATGAACTTCGATTTCTTTAGAATAAGGCGTCATTTGATGGCTCATCGGAAGCCTCAGTTCAAGTCATTCGTCGCTCTCCATGCTACAGTACTTCGATTAAGAGCCTAATTTTGTTCATCTACTGTGGTGTGAAATACAAGATCAATCACCCGCAAGACTTCCTATTTTTCGATTGAAAAAATAAATCAGAAGCATAATTTCTCAGCGTCAGCTTCTTGAATTCAACAACTTATTCCACGATAAAACTGAAAATCGCAGAAAGGATTCGTCCAATAAAATTCTTCTGCGAATCTAAGACGCGATGAAATAAGGATTCAAAGATACTGTACCATAAAAACATGAGAAACACCCTGGTTTTTTCAAGGAACATTTTTTTTTGCATACAAG